AAGGGCCATAGTTGCCCACCCCTGATCTAACTCCTGCTAAGGTTAAGCCTTAGATTAGTCAGCTTTCTTAAGGTAAGTAGTTTGAGTCACATGGGAAACACTAAAACAAGAACTGTATGCCAGGAAAGATACCAAAGAGTAAAAACATTGTTCTCTAGAAGTCCATTGTTACCCATCTCAAGTTTGCCAAAAACCATGCAGATGATCATGGGCTATATTTTATGGGCAGATGAACAAAGTGGTATTTTGGCTTTTAAAGTGAATGTTATGTTCCGGAGGGAATCACATAAGACATTGTATTCTAACAAAATAACTTCACCACAAATATGAAGCAGAGGTTAGAAACTAAACAGAATCTAAAAAGATAATAAAAATATGTATTGGAAATTTCGCAAGATGGATAAATTAATGGTATTATTATGTTGTGATTAGTATTGATATGTTTATTAAGCTTATTAGTAGGACTTTGGTTATTGTTGTATCTTTAATTAAAATTAATTGTGCCCAGACAACACGCTGTTCAGATAAACATGGAATTTTTTATGTTCTTTAAAAGGAAAATGTATCAATAAAATATATTTTTTTAAAAAAAATAAAGCATGGAAGTGGGAATATCATGATTTGAGGCTGTTTTGCAGTCTTAAAATCTATACGGCTCCTAATCATTGAGGATACAGTGCATTTGATATCATACCAGCAAATTCTACAGAGTAATGTTAGGTTATCCATCCAGAAGCAGAAATTTAAATGAATGTGTATCATGTAGAATGACAACGATCAAACTATGGAAAAATGGCTAAAATGGAGGAAGTTTTTTTTTTCCTTTGGAATGGCAAAGTCAGAGTTCTGGTCTTAACTCTGTTGAAATGTAGCATGATCTAAAATATGCAGTTCGTGCCAGACAACTCCCAAATATAAATGAGTTGCAGCAGTTCTGTAGGAGTATGCCAAGCTGCTTCCAAGTCAATGTGTGGGATTGATCAGCAGGTGCAGGAGGTATTTCTATTTAAATTTCTACAAACTTTAATATATTTTTGCCAACAAATACAGTTAGTATGTCTTAATATGTCCAATAAAGTACACTATTTTGTGATGTATGTTTGTTTAATTACTGAAATTAAACAAAACTCAGATCACATTGTAGCTCATAGTATTATCATATTATAATCTAATTGTAGATACTTCTAAGGGGTTAACTTTCACCACCATATTGTCATCCATTGATTTTATCATAATCATGAAAAGAATTATTAAGCCTATAATCTTACAAACAGCTAGTAGTGATTAATGTTTAGAAAGCATGGCGGGATTTATTTCTGAGTAAAGGATGCATATAGCATATGATTAGGCTACAACAATGCAGTATCTTAATGTCTAGTGCATCCCAGCAATATAAGTTGTTCTATGTACTTTTGTGCATATTTTCATTTTAGCCAAAAAATAGCCTATAAAGTATTCCTTGGGAATACTAACTGCTGATTTCACTGTTGAAATGACATTTACAGCTGAAAAACTAAACTTATGTTTTATGAAATGCCTTGCTTTGTGTTTTGAACTAACCTGGATTATCTGTTTCTTGAGACCTGCCACATGCATTTGAATTTATTTCTCAGAACAGCCAAACATGATTTGGCTAGAGTTCAAAGAAATGTATTCCAATGTATTTAGAGGGCAACAGATCATGGAACATTGTTCTAAAGAGCTCTTTTAATAGAAGCAATACCTTTGCTGAGATATTTTTCTTTATGGCATAATTTAAATTAATGATCCACAAGCCATTATGCAACTGCAGTACTAATTCAATCTCTGTTAACTACTAGAATGCAAAGACTTGTTTTCTTGAGAACTTCCACATGTATTTTTAATTTATTTCCTGGAACAGCCAAACATAATAGCATTTTATTGATAGCATTTTTGTTCCTAAAGGAAGCTTAAAATCATTTAAATATGTTTTTAAAATGATACCTAACCAGGCCTCAGATCTCACTGCAGAAATCCGAGAGTAAGTTGTTGGTATGTATGACTTGTGTAAATGTTTCCAAAGAGACCTTTGGAACACAGGGAACTGGCTATGAACTACCTCTTTCTGAATTAGTAGAACAGCAGTGTCTTTCTCCAAGATTTGCATAGCTATTCATTATTTGCTCTGAGTTCTTTGTACCTGCTGGTGAAGTGACAATACATGCACCCATGTGCAGGTGCAGCCAGGAGTAGTTTTAGAAGGAACTACACAACTCAGGGAAAAAAGGAGCTTCCTACACAATCCTGTGCATTCATAAGGAATTATCTTGAATTTGCCTAGCCCTAATATCTGTTTATCAAATATAAACAAGTGATTAGTGAGCAACTATAGTGATAAAGCAATTAGTGAGCAACTATAGCATTCAACTATGGTAGAAGAAATGCTCCAAGAGAAGTCAGTACTTTATTTAGTGTTACAGCCATGAGTTAACTTTTGTTAAAACTAACTTTCCATTTTCCCCTCCTGTATTTCTACTGCTTTCTGGTTGAATCAATTTCTGTGAGTTTCTCTGCATATAAAGTGTTTCGTGGCATAACTTTAGTATGCTCTGTAGTATTCCTTCAGTCTTTAGTAATCTGCTTAATTGTTGGAAATGTAACGCTAAGCATGTTAGTTATAGATATATGTGAATTAAATAGTTACACTATCAGAGTCTGCTGTGATTGCATGTGAAGTTAATATTTTGATTATTTATTTATGTAAAATAGAATGTTCTGTGCAGAACAGGATATTAAAGAACTGAGTAGTGTCAAATTCAGTGTACTAAAGAAGAAGCTAGACATTGTAAATAAATTTATAATTGAGTTTAGGGAATCTGTTTAATTTCAGTTCATGCTGTTTTATATGTGTTGTTGCAACTTAGTATAATTATACTTTCAGCATAAACTTTACATACGGGCTATTACCTCCTTGTTTACTTAGGGGCTTAGGCAATGCTTAAAATTACAGCACTTCATGAAAAGTGCAACTTGTGTTTTCATCTGATTCTTGATATGTATTCAAAATAAGAGCTTTGTGATACTGCTTTTCCATAATTATGAAATATCTGTGCTAAAAATATTTTACATCTTGAGCTTCATAGGTTAAAATTAATAAACTGCTTTTTAAACATAGGTATAAGACTGATGCTGCAAGTGGGAAAGAAAGGGAAGCCATTCTAGAGGAAGATGATGAACTTTGGGTAAAAATCAGGCACAAACATATTGCAGATGTGTTGGAGTAAGTGTCACTTTTTCTAAAACATTGTAAGCACAGTTATGGAATAACAGTTACATAAAGCTTGATTGTGTGTATGCACATGCACTTTTTACCAAGAGTTGGGAACCTAAGTGTTCTGTAGATACCGTATTTGCCGGCGTATAAGACGACTGGGCGTATAAGACGAGCCCCCAACATTTCCACTCAAAATATAGAGTTTGTTATATACTCGCCGTATAAGACGACCCCCCCCCACCACTTGGAGGCATGTTTTTCAGGGCAAAAAAGTCGTCTTATACGCCGGCAAATACGGTATATTAAAATATAAACACCTCACAAAGTTATTTGATGGTGAAGTAACCTGTCTTCCTCATTTTGTTATTTTGGTTGAACTAAAAAATACTTTCCTCACCAACCTGTCTACATACATAAATTTATATTTGTCTAAAAGAGATTTTTTTCAGCTAGGGTTCTGCTGAACTCTAGAGTTCCATGAGAAAGCACTACAGTTCTATGAAAGATCATGATTGGGAGGAAAAAAACCATTCTCTAAACCAGTGCTCATTAAAAAATTTAAACGTTTTCTGAACTAGTAGGAGTCTTTTACATGCCACATCTCAACTTCCACAGCTCCCTGAGATCTGAAAATTATTCAGAAGTTTCTCCTGGATAAAAAGGTTGAAGAAAGCTAGTCTAAAACAGTGCTTGTCATTAAGCAAATAATACTGTAGACAACTGTTCTATGTATATTTAATAAGATTTCTTTTAAACTTTCAGAGAAATACCAAAACTTATGAAAGAAGTTTCTTCAAAAAGGAAAGCATCAGAAGGCAAAGTAAGATTTTTTAATGTTTATATAATATATAATAGGCATATAATAAAGAAGGTAATAATAATATTACACTCTTTATTAAACAGATAGCCAACAACATAATACTGAAGGATATGTGGAAAGGAGAATTACTGAAATGTAAATGTTCTTGGATTTCAGATGTATGAAATGCCCTTAATACTTATCTATTTTGACAAATGATTAAAATCCTTGGTAGGCTTAAAGTCCATAAAACATTTTCCAGCAGTATTGTTACTTTATTGTAACCTTACTAATTTTCTTGTAATCTGTGATAATGTTATTTCCTGGTCTTTGGATGAAAAAATTAAGAGGACAAAAAGAAATGTTAAATATTTGAATTGACTTTACAAATGCTTTTCCCCCAGATATCATTAAATAATCTGGCCCAGCTTATGAAAAAGATGCCCTACTTTCGCAAGCAGATTACTAAGGTAAGCAGAAAATTATATGACAAACTGGAAGAAAACACTGTTTTTAAAAATGTAGTTGAAAATAAAATAAATCAGCATTAAAAAAAAGAAAAGAAAATGGCAGAGGGAGGAAGTGAACGAAGAGACAAACTTGAAAGTATACATTCTTCTGAGAAAAAAAAGTACAAAATACTATAAACATCTATATTCAGTACTTCTATCCAGAATGATATTTATATGAAGGTAATTATTATAAAAATCTTGTTAGCTATATTAACAATGACCAGGTTTGAATATAATGCTTATTCACTGTAAGGTTTTCCAGTGTTTTTTGTTAACCAGAGCACATTACACACATAAATATTGTAATTTGTAATAACAAAACTGGCAGCTATCAGAGTTTCTTATGCATCAATAATAATTGTCATTTTTATTATGCCTATTTTATAAAATTGGTGAAATTTCCTTGTTAGTAGGTGGTGAAGATGAAAACCAATTTTCAGAGCTGGCCAACTGTTTTAACTTATAAGATCTATATAATTAACAGCAGAATGATTGAACTTCAATAATTCATATCATATTGGAAATTTTGACTTCTTTATTTTTAAATCCTGATAATGGCCTAAAACTCTGCCCAAATTATGCTGAGATAAAAGCATGACTATAGATGTATCTGCATTAGTACACCATCTATTGTCTTATCAAAACCATGGTTTTTAGGTAATTTTAAATTTGAATTAAAGAGATTTTGTATATTTATATGGTTATTGTTAGAGCAGATCACAGTTCATTTAGTCTTGATTTTAGTCATTTAAATGCCTCTGCAGATCTCAAAGGATTATATAACTGTTGATGAATCTCATGGATTTAATGCTTAAAATTTTGTGACTCCGAACTTTCTAGTTTGCTGCAGTTGTTTATATTAACCTTCATGAATTTCTATTAACAATATTCTAAATTTCATTAAAAAATCAATAATTTGCATTATGTCATGATCATTGTAAGCATGTCTTCATTAGAGAAACCCTTCAAAGTTCAGTAGACTTTATTTTCTTCCTCACTATTACAACTACAGGTATAAGTCTTGTTCATTATACTTACAACCACTTCTGTCTAAAATGATGAATAATGTGATTGGTTCTTACTTTAATCCAAATACTATCATATTGGTTTTAGGAAATATAAGCATTTGTTAATTGTTCTTGAATTGTAAACTTAATTTAGCATAATTTAAAAAAAATAGCTTTTCCCCTTTCTGTTTTGCAGCAAGTTGTGCACCTTAACATAGCTGAAGATTGCATGAATAAATTTAAAAGTAATATAGAAAAGTTGTGCAAAGTGGAACAGGTATGTGAAACCATTCAAATGTCCAAGTTTGTTTAGACTAGACCAGGGGTGTCAAACACGTGGTCCATGGGCGAGATACAGCCCATGCAGGCCATGACACCCCAGCTCCGCAAGGACAAAAATCTCGATACATCACAATACAGGTTTGATGCCCTTGGATTAGACAAATCCTAGCCTAAATTATTTTTTTTATCCATCTATCCATTCATCAGTCAGCTATCCCGACTTGGTCAATTAGAAAAGAAAGACTCGGATCCATTATTAGCCAAAGTACACTAAAGCCAAGTGGTTACAGAGTAGCAAAGTAAGATCTGAAGTTTCAGGCCTCAAAGCTCTGGCTAACTTTTCTCCCCACCTTTCCCATGGTTATTTCAAACTGTCCAATTACACTTAAACGAATTGTTTTGGTAACAGTCCCTGGCTTGGTGGGCTAGTTGATGTTGCATTCCAATCCATGACCTTGGAACACTCAGCAGCTCCCATGGGACAGCACCAAGAGTAGTTTCAATTCTTCTCATCTCAGTCTTCCTCCCTCTTCCTCCCTGCAGCTCCCTCCCTCCATAATGTGTGGCAGATTGGCATCTGCCAAAGTAGCAGAATGGCAGTCCTGACATTATCCATCTATCTAACTGCCCACCTACCTCCCAGAGAGATACCACTGAACTGATAGTATTATAAAAGGGATCCTTACTTTTCTAAGGCAGTCTACATAGGATGAAGTACAACAGGAAGTGCTGATTTCCTATTTTGTCTAGTAAAACATGAGAAGATTGTTCGAGAACTGAATAATGTTGGAGATGGGGGTTCAGATACTTCTGAATGGGTTGGGGCAGGGGTGGGTTTCTACCGGTTCTGTCCACCTCTGTAGAACCGGTAGCTCTGAAGAGCAGCAGACATAGAACCGGTTCTATGTCTGCTGATGTTTTTGCCCACCCGCCCGCCTGGGCTCTTACCTGACCTTTATTTCCTGCTTTTTCAACTTCAGCTGCTGTGCGAGGAACGGCTGCAGTTAAAAAAACAGGAAAAAAAGGGCTTTTTCAAAGGCTACTTCTCTGCACACAGCGCTGCTCAGCTGTCCAGGCACCAAGCTGATGACAATTTACAAGCGCGCGCACAGCATGCAAGGAAGCACATCATAAATCACCGAACCTCGTAAATCACCGAACCAGTAGTTAACCCTGTCGGATCCCACCCCTGGGTTGGGATCTAAATTCAGCCCTCAACTTTGCTTCAAAGTTTACCTTAAGATGAAGTAGCACTTTGCATATGTGAAGGTTGATGTGACTGGAACAGTGCACTCTTTTCTAGGACAAAAAATGTTGTTGGAATCTTTTTAGCTCATGGATAATTGGAAGGGGCTTAATTGTATCAGATCACAAACTTTTGGAAATGAAATTGCCACAGCATCCCATTGTTAGTTTTTAATTAAGGGTAGGAAGAGAACAAGCAACATAATGGTTTTATTTATAAAATAGATAAGGTGAATTCATTTCTTACAATGTACTTCAAGATTAATTAAAACTTGTTCCAATACAGCTCTGTTCTATTTGCTTCTAATATTTTCAGAATTTTTGGAATCTACTTTAGCAAAATAATCCAGTAATAGTTATGTATAAGAAATAGGACTTTCACCAAAAATTTAAATGTGACAAGAAACTCCTCAAAATTATTTGGCTGAAATACAGGCTTAAAAATCATTGTAACGTTACAGTGAAGATTATGCTAAAAGCATTGCTGTATTTTCTTGTTTATAATTTAGGATTTGGCTCTTGGAACAGATGCTGAGGGACAGAAAGTGAAAGACTCAATGCGGGTTCTCCTTCCAGTACTGCTTAATAAAAGCCATGATAGCTACGATAAAATAAGAGCTATTCTTCTGTATATCTTCAGCACAAATGGTAAGGTTTGCTTCATATTCAGTTAAGGTTATTGGAACAAAATGTTTCTGAATGCATAAAAATAAAAACATGGTTGTGCTGGATAGTGCTTCTGCAGGCGACATCATTTTTTGAATCCTAGGATAATTTAATTGCAGTCTTAACCGAAATTAATTTGGCACTATATACTAATTTGGTGAGATTTCTAAGAAAGCATGAGATTGTATTATTCTCAGAAATAGAGAAATTCACAGAAAAATAAGTTTCCCATCTTGTCTGTCTATAGAAAGCAATTCTATAAGAGTCATTGAGCTTATTTAGAAAAAGGACTTCAGCACCATTTTGGGTGCAATTCTTCCCTTCCTCATTAGGCTACCATTTCCTAGTCCAAATGTTCCAAGTCACAACTGCAAAAGGTGCTCAGAGAGGGTGAGGAGAAAGCATGATAAATCTGTTAAAATCTTTAAAATCAGAATTATTATGTTTGAGAAGTATAACTAGGAAAGGGTGATAAACGCTGGCATGACGGAAACATTCAGCATGCTAAAAGTTCCTATGGCATATAACATTTTCCTTGATGGCTTAACATAACTTATTTATTCTACACAGTTGTTGTTGATTACTAATTCAAAATGTCACATTTATCAAAAAGGAACTACCCAAGAAAATTTGGACAAGTTGATCCAAAATGTACAGATAGAAAATGACAGCAACATGATAAATAATTGGATATACCTTGGTGTGCCTGTCCTCACTACAGTAAGGAATATAACTTATTTTTCCTGAAAACTATCTTACTTATTTTCAAGGTTCTCATACAGTACATTAATTTCAGTTTCTCATCCTTGCAATTTTTCTCTCTTCTCATTTAATTTTCCAAATTGCTCTGTCAGCAGTCTTAATGAGAACAATTTATGAAATTAATGACAGTAAAAGCTTGAAACACAGAGATCCCCCCCCCCCCCGAAAGTAGAGTAATAGTACAAAAATCTGTTGAGCACATTGAATTTATAATATAAGAAAACATTCCAAAGTTTTATAAAGATGATCTCAATAACCTAATAAAAAGTTTGCGTAATTATTTCGTTAAAATGACTATGGAGATAAACCTCAGGTGTAATGTTTATCTGAGGGCAACCAATGTATTCATAGTTGATAGGAAAGCTATATAACAACTATACCTGTTCCATATTACTACATTGTGCCAAAACGTTTGAACTCTGAAGCTGGAGTGTACATATTTTCTTATTGAATGAAATGGAACATTAAAAGAGAAATGTTTAGTGGAATCTCTGGCTATGGTAGATAATTTAGATTTATGAAGAACAAAGCAAACAGTTAGCTAAATTGCAACTTAGGAGCAGTACCTATTGTGGATTTTTGTTTGAATATCTGATTTCTTAGATGATAATAAACATTTGACTTTTTAGCCTGCAACGCAACGAAGATCGTCAAGAAGGACTCGCTCTTCAGAAGGAACATTTCAGCTTTCTAGATGGACACCCATTGTTAAAGATGTCATGGAGGTAAAGTTTTCATGAAGAATGCTTAAGCAGATATTTTAAAGAGAGCATGTGAGTGTGTATGTGTATATTTAATGGAACAATTCCTTTTAGCCATGCTGAATCCTTGGGTTACAGAAAAATGTTATTCTGCAGAATATGAAAGACTACAAATGTCCATTTCTCTTTAACAACACTTAACTAATGGCATATTTGGACACACACACACACACACACACACACACACACACACTTTTTTTGCAGTTCTTAGCATAATTAATAATAATAATAATAATAATAATAATAATAATAATAATAATAATAGAGTAGCATGCAGAAAGTACTTTCAAAAAATCAAATAGTTTAAAAGTCCCAGATATATTTAAATATTTAAAATACTGAAAAAGAAGTGCTTTTCTTCAAAGATTTAATACGTAGAAAGGTATACACATACTAGCACACACACAAACACTATAAACATACAAACACACACACACACACACACACATACACTGAACACTAATAAATATTGTTGGAAATATACAGCATTTTTAATTCCTTAAACTGACCGCATATCTAAAATCACTGTCTTCCTCCTAATATCAGTGTACAAGTAGAAAATTATGTAGTTATATGAACAAGATGCCTTGTCTTGAAATAAACATGAAGTGATAAATATTTGGAATGTTGAACATAAATTATTGGTAACTATGAAATGTCTTTTCATTGATAAAATGATTCATAAATGGCAACTTCTGTTCCAATCTTTTGTCAATGTATTGCCCATTAACCTAAGACATTTTTCCTACTGTATACAGGCTTTAAGTCTGGTTGCTGGCTACAGGTAATGTGAATCTTCAAATTGTATAACAGGGTTATATTTCTTTGTTTTCTAGGATGCTATAGAAAATAAATTAGATTCAAAAGAGTGGCCTTATTGTTCCCAGTGCCCGGCACCCTGGAATGGCTCAGGAGCAGTGAGGTTAGGAATTTAAATGTAGTTGGCACAATTGCTCCTTGTTTTCCTGATAATTAATTTGAACTATTCTATGTACTTCCCTTTCCAGTGCTCGTCATAAACCCAAAACTAGTTACTTGGAAGAACGTAAGGGTGGTGCAAAGCTTATTGTGTTTATCATTGGAGGTATTACGTATTCAGAGACACGTTGTGCTTATGAAGTTTCTCAGGCATACAAGTCTTGTGAAGTTATTATTGGTAAGCCTTCTTTTAAGAATAGTTGTATTGCTTTAATATATATAAAGGGGGAGGGGCGTGTTTCAAAGAACAAAAGACAGAAACAGTGAAAATGAAACAACACAAACATATTATAGGGAAAGCCATTCTGCCTCTTTTGAGTACAGATAATTCTTGAGATATGACCGTAATGGAGCCTGCCCATTATGTGACGCATGACATGGCAGGTGAAACATCTCACCAAATTATCTCCCCATCCCTGCTCTCCCTAATGAAATGTTAAATGAATGTGTGGATCATTAAGCAGAATGCAGGGTGCCTCCTGGGTGGGCATTGGAGACCTAGCACAGGCAGAAGCCCTCTTGCCCTGATCCTCCAAAGGCCTTTCCTACTCCCAAGATGCTCCAAGCTCCACTTCCCATGGCACTTAGCAACATAGCCACATTTATGGTTGTTTGCAGCATTCCACAATCACATGACTGTCTTTTGCATTGGTTTGCCCCAAACCGGCATTTTTTGTTTTCGGCAAAACAGTGCCCATAGTGAACAATGAATTTGCACTTAGGACCACTGCGTTTTCTTAATGGCATTTGCACATATGACTGCTGCGTTTGCTTAACAGCTGCCACAAAAAAAAAAAAAAAAAATAGCTCTTATGATTTATGACCATACTCTTTTGATTTCTGTTTTACAATCTTCCCATTTTTCTGCTAAGGTAAATTCTAGACAGATCTAAAGCAGTGGCCCCAACCTTTTGGGCACCAGGGACCGGTTCCGTGGAGAGAGGTTTTTCCGCAGACCGGAGGGGGAGTGGTTTTGTGTGCTGCCTGCATCCCACGGATGGGGCTTTGCTTGTTTGCACGGACCAGTTTCTGGCATGCTGCGGACTGGTGCCAGTCCACGGACCACGGGTTGGGGACCCCTGCCTGGTCTAAAGGGGTGAGTAGGACAAGGCTGGTTTATCTTGCCTTTCTTTCTCTCCCCTTCTCTTTTGTATGGTCTCTGTGCTGTTCCACTTGCCAGGTTTTTCATTGCAATTGACAAATAGCAATAGCACTTAGACTTACATACTACTCCATAATGCTTTACATCCCTCTCTAAGCAGTTTACAGTGTCACCATTTGCCCCCAACAATCTGGATCCTCATTTTATTGACTTGGAAGGATGGAAGGCTGAGTCAACCATGACCCAGTCAGGATTGAATTCCTGGCAAAGAGCACAGTTAGCTTGCAGTATTACATTCTAATCCAAGGGTCCTCAAACTTGGCAAGTTTAAGACTTGTGGACTTCAACTCCCAGAATTCCTGAGCTAACATGACTGGAGGAGGAATTCTAGGACTTGAAGTCCACAAGTCTTAAAGCTGTCAAGTTTGAAGACCCCTATAATCTTAATCACTGCACCACCAATGGTAGAAGCATCTTAAGGAAATGGGGAAAGAAATAAACTAGGAAAATCAGATACTATGCTGGAATTTAGGAGCAATGGTGCACAGAAGCCATTGCATGTCTAACCAGTCTGCCAGTTTTTCTGAACATCTAAGTCCTTACTTTTCCTATTCACATTTAACTGCTGCAGTTACCAATGTTTGCCTTATTTCTGCATTCCTGATCTGGACTACATATGTTCCAGTTCCATATTTAGACATTTTCCAGTCTTGCTTGAGGATTTTCAAACTTTTTTCAGGCTGTTGAACATTAATCCCTGGAACCTTGGTTCAAGTGGGAAAATGATAAATTGTCATGGATGCAAATTTTTGAATGTTGCTTGATAAACTTGGGCTCTTTACTTTAGAAATCAAGTTTGATCTAGTGGTTAAGGCACCAGGCTACAATCCAGGAGACTCTGAGTTCTAGTCCTGCCTTTGTCATGAAGCTGCTCGGTGACTTTGGGCCAATCACTCTCAGTTCAACCTACCTCACAGGGTTGTTACTGTGGGGAAAATAGGAGGAGTAATATTAGTAAATTTGTTGGCTTGAGTTACTTATAAGTATATACTTATAAGTATAATAAAGGCACAATATAAACATCTATTTAAAAAATTGCTATGGATGCCCCTGCAATTGCTTTGGCCTTACTCTCTAATGGAACTATATCAAGTTTTTCATTTTTAAAATGAAAATTCTATCATGTTTTTCTTCTGCACATTAGAAAAATCCTAATCTAGTCTGCTATCAGTGATGAATGTGGTAAATTAATATTCATGAATGCATTTTTTTTACCAGGATCCACTCACACTGTGACACCTAGAAGACTTCTGGATGATGTAAAAGCACTTACTGTAACAAAACCAAAGGATAGTGTGTATTTGAAGGATGAGTAGAAATCATAGTGAAACATTCACTTCTGCTTAACTTAACAGATAAAAAAATCATGTTATAGATATTATGGATGTAATCTAGCTGGACATAAGCATTTTAAAGTCCCCTGGTTTCAGTGGAAGAAAACTGTTTAACCATTTTTGCAGCTTCTTTTTGAAATCAATGGGTATTTATAAGCACTCAGTTTAAACTGGACTGTATTCTGTGTACATATTTTACAAATAAGTGTTATTTAGAATTGTTTTTTATAATTTGAGATTGCTGCTTTTCATTGTGGTAGGGAATGGGAAGATGGTAAAAATGAAGTGCATGCAACAGCTTTGTTTTATATTGTGCTTGCGTTATACAGTAACTGGCCTTTTGTTGTGAAATGTTCACTGTAGAGAATGTTCATCACTACAACATATTACATTCGACTTGGAAAACATGTTTGTACATATGCTAATAATGTCAATAATGTGTACACTTTCTATCATGGAAACGTCTGTTTCTAAATATATGTTTGTAAAATGTTATTAAACTATGAAGAAATTTAAAATATAAATGTGTAACACAATTTCACAATTAACAGGTGTAGAGCTACAAAATTCTATGCAACTTCAATTTCACTGAAAACAATTTGCAGTAAACTACAGATATAAACTTCTTTTCTGAGACATTTGATATAAATTATAAAATATAGGTGTCTGGGAGTGCATGGATCTTTTATGGTATTTGGATAAAATTCAGGTATGTAATAAACACTTTACCATAATTAAAGAACATTGGAAAATGTATTGTCTTGTGTTTCTAGAGAATCTTTAAAGACTGCAGTACAGCCCAGTTGGTCATTTCCCTCCCCTCTTCTTTCCTTGGAAAATTGCCTCACTGGAGTCTTTCAAACAGCATTCAGTATTGATTGGAGCAGGAGAACAAAAGGTGAAGAGTAATGGCATACAGGGGTAATTGATAGCTTAAAATGTTCAAAATGGTACATATTGGATAAAAAAAAAACATGATTGCTTATTTAAATGATGCTATCCTTCACTAGCACATCCATTTGGAAAATACAGTTCCTAAATTGTTACCAGAATCATTGGGTAATTTATTAATTTAAGACCCATGTTTGATGGCATTATGGTTTATTTAATAATACAATGCTGTCTTGACTGTTCACTGCTACTTGTTTGAATCCCTGCCTTCCTGGCTTGTACAGGAAGTTAGTGGGATGGTGTTGATGTGAATGAATAAGATACCTCTGAAACATGGCAAGTGCATTTAAGAGGTAAATATGAGTATCAGTATTGACTATCTCCATTTATCGCTTGTCAGCATAATATTTTATTATAAAGAACCATTAACCTTTTCAGGAAACTAAAACATGTCTACTATTGACCTCACCCCTTTCCTAAGAGGCCTGTAGGGGGTGTGCATAAGCGCATCAATCGTGCCTACTGTCCCTGTCCTATTGTTTCTTTTATTTTTCTTATACGTATCCATTTCATGTATTCATAACTATGTTTATACTTATACCTGTTATCTTGTAAGCAATTGACAAATCAAATAAATAAATAAAAGTTATGATCTGAAACAGTAAGGTACTGTGTGGTGTACCACATAGTATCTAAGATGGTCTGTAAAAATACTTATTTGGACACAGAATTTAGATACATCAAAACCAACATGAGAAGTTTCTTTTTCCAGTAATCTATTTTAATTTTGGATGTAATACCTCTATTCTAGATATAGTTTATTAGTCTTCAAAATACATTGTCAGTACTGATGAGCTGTGCCACTGGATAATGTCTGAATTTTCACCTTAGCTAAATCTTCTGAGACAGCTTGCATCATATGCTCTGTTGTTGTCTTCAAATTGTTTGCCATCTGTATAGCATTATCCAAAGTGCAGTTTAATATCTGTTAAAGACGAAATTTCATAATCATCAAATATATTTTGTTAACTAGTTTAAACAATATATTTTTAACTAGTCATTTCAAAGATTTATATATATATATATATAATATAAAAATAAAAATAAAAATAAATAGTCCCCTTAGTCAGCATACAACATAGGGCAGAATACTTCACCAATAAACAATAAAAAGTCAACAAAAACCACTTAATAGACCAAAACATTAAAAAAAACCAAAGCAGCCACATACAAACACATAAAATGCTGGGGGGGGGGGGGGACGGACGACGACTTATCCAACAGATCATACTGCTGCCATATCCAGTGACTAAGGAAGAAAACAGGATTTTAATTTTACAGGATTTTAAAAGCAAGGTCAGGGCCCACCAAATATAAGCGGATTCATTTCAACAGATATATTTCCAGGGACCTAAAAAACAGGACTGAGTGCATGACAACTCAAAATTCCTAAAACATCTGAAATATAAATTTCTCAAACTTTCCACCAACTACTAAATTATTATTTTGTAAATAATGATCTTGTCTTACCATGCTATTTATGTCTTTACTTTGCCTTTTTCTCCTATTACTGACTGACTTCCTTCCATTAATATTACTACCAGAGAGGTACTGTGGTGAAAGGATAATGCTCTCATGCATCTTTGAATAGCGGGTTTGGGGAATATATCGATTCTGTCTAAAAAGACAGCGAAAGAAAATAAAAAATGTTCATACAGTACATTCCATGTTTAATATGCAAAATGAAAAACGTGGCAAGCCAAAAATTTAAATCAAGATGTTAATTATGCATTATTTGTCAGGCTGCTTTCAAGCATTTGAAAAGACATCCAACAATTACAATTTTTCCCTTTTAAGTTAAATATATCTGCATAATTAACGTTTCACCGAAGTACAAGTTTGCACAATTGGCTATTGATTGGTTCAAACTGTAACAGACCTTACCTGTCACATAATCTGTGTATAAAATCTTCTCTCTGTTCTTCTTTACAAATCCTTTGATGGGCAATGCTATTTTGCAAAGAACCTGAAAATAATTATCAATCAATATTTCATTAAATAAACGTATTGGCAGTTCCTGCCCTAAATATCAAAATGTTTTGAATTATAATGCTGCCTTTTGATTATTAGAAAAGGAGGCTTGGAAGATAGTAACACAATCTTTTGTTAGGAGATAACAACTTATAAAGGCTATGAAAAGATTTAAGGTATGTCACTATTGAGGCCTATATTACATAATATGGGCCAAATTCTTCTTTACTGTGACCAACTTTTTCTATAGCAAAACAAAATATGTTGCAACACATGGAGATCTTATGACTGATCTTTAGCAAATGCTTGAAGTTACAATGGACTCCTAAAAGGTACTTACAACCTAGCTCTGAAGCTTTGATGGACAGTTCCCCTCTGTCATGTGACCGCATTTACAGCGGTTATAGCATCCTAGATTCAAGTGACAGATTTTTTTTATGTATTGCTGAAAACTATGAAATGCAAAAATGCCCCATAGTAAACAATAGATTTGCTTAAAGACTGCAGATTCACTTAATGACCAGTCATTCACTTAATGACCACATCAGAAAAGATGATAACCCACTTTGTAAACATCACGACATATCCATAATGGGGAGGCTTCATTATGGTCGTAAATTGAGAACTACCAATATAAACTGAAATGTATAATGATTTTTTTGCTATCTTGCTGCAAACTCTGTTTCCACTGATTAGTTATATAAATGCAAAGCAATCAATTGAACCTAAAGAGATGGTGCTTAATCCAAGGGCCCCCTCACGCATTGGTCTGCTTCATCATAGGGAGGGCTGTCTCATCCAGAACAGGCAAGTTACCATATTCCTAAACCCAGAATTTTTCACCAGCTTTGTGGTTCATTGTTAACATTTTAGGTATAGTTTAGTTATAGCTATCTAATATAACTCTTGAATTACATAATACATTGCAAGATAGCCCAATATTAACCATAGTAATTAATTAATATGGCAAAAATTGGTTGCTGCATGAACTGAATTGACCAATTTAGGCCTTTCCCTAGCTAAAATATATCACTTCATCTTCTATCTTCTTTATTATTTTAATTAACACTGTGTCTTTCAGTTTTTTGTTTGTAGTCATAAAGCTATTTTTAAGCAATGTGTACAAATCAAATAGGCTTATTTCTAAAATGTTGATATAAATAGTCATATGCATAGATCCAAATAGTTAAATATGATAATGTCAATAGCTCACTTTAGAAATTTATAATTTTAATAGCCTAAATGCCCTGTCAGTTGTTTCAAGCTTGAAAGTTTAAACTCACTGTTTTTTTCTTGCAAATGCACTAAAGCAATTTCTGTAAAATAATATTTCTGTGAATATTATTTAATGTTTCTGTGCAATATTATTTAATAAGAAATAACAGTACTGAATTTGGCGCAAGTCCTACACCTAGCAAGTTGTGGGTACAGTAATATAGAGCATTATTCATGATACAGCAAAAAGTTCAACAGGATTGCAGCTGCCAATAAGCATTTGCAAAGGCAATCTACTGTAGATAATGTAAGGAATATTATTGAGCTGCCCTTCTATCAGATTCAAAGGTAAGATGGCTAGATTTACCAATGTAAATGCCTTTCTGTTAAAGGGAAAATATTAAACGGTAGTTTGGAATAATGAAGGGGATGTGATAAAAGTTGTCTTTTGGAACTTCAGATCTGTCACCTTACAAACTCAGGACAAGTCATTATTTGGCTTCCCAAATAGCTTTCTTTAGACCCATTTTTGTTCGTGCATTTATTGAAAGGCCACAGAAGGAAAAATGTATGTTTCTTATGTGGAATTAAATTTGTCATTAAGAACTAGCTGACCCAATGAATTACTTCCATGATTTAATTTCAACTGGTATCTTAAGTGGCATGTTTATATGTCTGTAGAAGGAGACCCTAATTCATTAAGAGATTGTGGATAAATCAAGGGACATGGAGAATTACTTTACTCTGCCTAAATGCTTGGTGTTTTGATAAGAGAGATGTGAGTATCACAATTTCCTAAATGCAGCTCTGATATAAGTAATTTGTTCTGACCTGAAGATTGAAGAAATTACCACAAGGTTTGTTTAATACACACTAGATTCAAGGCCATCTGAAAATCCTAACCCTTTCTTCTATTCCTGATGGAGAGCAACTTTTTGAGAGGCTAAAGAAACTTCAATCTTACTTTAACTGAATTTAAATAAATAATTCCTTATATACCTGTTACATCTAAATCCACTGGTTTTCGTTCAAAGAAGATTGGAAATCTTTCACAATCAGAATGTCCTCTAGTTGCTTTTCTATATTCTGTTTTATTTCTAGATTAAAAATAAAATATAACACTTATTTAACTGAAATTTAATAGCAAACATGTAGGTAATGATGCAATCCCATGCAAGTTTATACAGAAATAAATCTTGCTAATCTTAATTATCTTCTTCCTAGAAAAGTTTTTCTTGAAATCTAATAATCTGGGAGTATACAGTATATATGATTCAGTTGACTTCATTTCTAAGTAAATATAGGCTTGCAATGTAAATCTGTAAGGTAAACTAACTTGGGGTGTTTCTTGCATTTTATATTAAGTATGCTGAGTTGATTCATATTACGTATAGCAATATAAATACTAACCTATTAGAATAACAGGAGCATATTTTATTTCTTGATAACTGCATTTTCAATATAGGATGCATAATAATTTTAGGCTTATCAGTAGAATGTCTCACTTTCTCAAGAAAGGTATCTGAAACTGACCTTCCTATGGAAAATATTACAGATTAAAAAACTGATTACTGGATGCTTCTTATTCGAATGATTTAATTATTTATTAAAACACAAATGTTTATTTTTATCTTGTTCTACCTTGTTCATTTAGTAAAGTTAAATCAACCTCATTAGATTCTTTGCTGATTAAATTTGCTAGAGTTGGAGATCTTATTTGAAGATCATTTAAATTCCTGATGGAAATGAAAAGAAGATTAGCATTGTATAGTATCAGATTACTATCCGAGGTGATCAGAACTTAATTGGCTCGATATTCTGATACTTGACCAATAAGTGAATGAATAAATGCATTTACCACCAGTAGATATAATTATATTTATAAAAAGCTCTGAACTTTATATAGTGAAATTGTCATATTGGACAATATTTGGTTTTGGTTCAAGAGAAAAATGCCTAAAAATGAAAGAATATGAAAAAGGAAAAAATAGCAAATTTAATATATTTTGGGAAGTTACCTATCTGTATTTTCTTGTTCATTGTTGTAATTCTGTTTTGTTTTATGGGATCTGTGGTATTGGTCAAATTCTTCAATCTTAAATATAAAAGTAAAATAAAATATAGAGTGGCTAATAAATTAAACAAGAATGCCAGACAACTTAGCACATTCATTTAATTTATAGCAATGTACCAATGTATGTAATTACATAATTAAACTATAATTTATTGAACCATTAAGCAGATTAAATATGAACTTGACTTACAAGAATATGCTTATTTGTTTGCTGTCTTGTTTTGTCCATAGATGCCATCATTTTTAAATGGATATTTTTCTTCTGCAGTTGTAGATGACTATGGAAAAAGCAAAATATGAATCTTTAAAAATTTCTTCCTTGGTATAGTTTTTTCTAATGAAGTGCTGCTTAATTTCAGCCCTGATAGCAAGTTTCTTCAACTTTGAAGTGTATTATTATATTTATCCCAATCTTAGATACAGATTAAAGGAAGCTGCAGTGGATGCTATTTTATAACAAACTTTTAATCTAAAAAAACAGATTAAAATCTTCAGCAGCAATCACTTAACTTATGTAACAGCATACATTTAGGAAAAATAAATCAGTATAACAAGTAATATGAGTTCCAGAAAAGCTGATACAAGTAAAGTACCTTGGAAAACAGTTAAAATTTCCTCAGACTGATGTTATGCCCATTGGTGTTTGAAGATAAAAGCCAACATTCTTAATTTATACTGGGTTGTGGTTTAGACATATAAAACCACTCTGAATCCTAAGTACGGTAATATATTTATATAATTTTAATGCAAATCTAAATTTCGCATAAGTCATGCAAGTCTAAATTTTAGCTGCTATTTGATTGAGATACCTCAATTGGTATCCATTGTTAGTGTTTATTTTTCAAAACATAACATAATCTGTTTTTCCATTTATCTTTAGAGAGTAAGCAATCATCTATTATAATTTTACTTGGAATATTATCTCAACTAAGCCAGAGGGACATCCCTACTAAATTTAATGATCATCTTCAGTTATTATCGTAAAAGTTCAACCTTACATTTGGTGGAACAGATGGTTGCTATGACCTTGTATAGCTTTTTTATATGCCTTTTGTGGAGTTACTTCTATAGGGTGATTTTTATTCTTCCAATAGTTCTCATTTTGGGGAATATTTAGTCCTGCAAAGTTTCTTTTTGGAGATTCATTGGTACTTGTATTCAAAGGACTCTAAAATAAGCATAAGAGAAATATAGGAGGCACATCTATTTAAAACATGCAAAAATAAATGTATTGAAAGTGTTCTGTTTTTGCTTACAGAATGCTGATTAAGATTATAGATATCTACCGTGTTTCTCACAAAATAAGGCCGGGTCTTATTTTTTTTTTGACCCCCGAAAAAACGGCTAGTCCGTCTTTTCGGGTGTGACTTAATTCCCTCCCCTTCATCCTCGGATGGGTGGGCGGCGACGGCTTGGATGTTGACCTCGGCGTTGGTGGGGCACTTCATATCAGGAGACCTTCTGCCACCATTGCTTTCCCTTCTCCCCATGCTGCCGCGGCGTTTAGAGCAACGCCGCAGCATTTGGTGCAGCCATGCGCAGCAAGCCAGGGCTCCTCCCTGCAACCAGAGCCTGGCGGAGACACTTGGCTTCAGGCGCTCCTGTCGCCGCCTTCCCTTCGCCTTCGAAGGCAAAGCCAATTCTTTTAAAAACGACGCTCTATTACCAGTATGACAAAGCCTCCCCTGCCCGAGAGGGCAGCCCAACCACACATGGGGAGGCAAATCTCCCGGGGCCACAGCGCAGGATCAGCCCACCCTGGGAGAAGGGCCCAGCTGCCATCCCTGTCTGGGGCCAGGCAGAGCATGAAGAGCTTCACCTGGGGCGCCCAGTGTAGCTGACAGGCGGGCCCTCCTGCCCGGTGGCGGAGTTCTTGCCAAGGCAGCGAGTGCCTCCCCGCCAGGCCCTCCATTCATCCCGCCAGGGCCGTGCTAGAGCCATGCGGGCTGGGCAGAGCCGGGAAAGTGAGCCGCAGGTACGCACCCGCCTGCCAAGCGAAGGAGCTGGGCTGACCCAAGCTTGGCTTCCTTCCCAAGTCCCTCCAGCCCGAACCCGAAGGGGCCACCGGGAGAGGCCACCCGAGGCAGTGATAGCACCTACCCATCTGTGGACAGGGAGGCAAGGAGCCCTGGCTGGCCACGCGTGGTTGCGCCAAACGCCGGCAGCATGGGGAGAAGGGAAAGCAACGGTGGTGGAAGGTTTCCCGATACGAAGTGCCCCACCAACGCCGAAGTCAATGCAGGAAGCATCATATCCGGGTATGCAACAAAAGTACTTCCTAACAGCAAGCCCCCCCGCCATTCCCCCCCCATTTTGCATGTTTAATATAGGCCTTAATTTGGGGGGAGGGCCTTAATTTGATTTCATGCCTATAAAACATGCTGGGACTTCCTGGATAGGAAGTCCTGGATAAGACCTGGATAATTAAGAAAATACTTTTGTTGAAGAAAAGGCTATAATTTTGAAAATAATTTTCCTGATGAAATTAACCAAAACAAAACACTTATAAGGGTCAGTGTCTTCTGACATTTAGTGGTATTTAGTGGTATTAATGGTATTTGGATTGAAAACTACATTATTTTGTTTATTCACAAATCAGTCTTTAAGACTTACAAAATACCGGTCAGCTTACCACAGAATAACTTGAACAAACAGGAGATGGGTGGGATCTGATTGATGGTGATGATATATATGTTGAGGAATACGAAGCGAATGTCTTCTCAATTTTCTCCTTGATATCTTCTAGAAACATCCCAAGTTTAAATATTTCCCCTTCTACTTTTCTTAATACAAAAATAATTATATATGTATCACTAATTTTGCTCTGTTCTTTCATTATCAGATGTAAGATATGATACAACAGAAAAATAAATGAGAAATTGGAAATTGAAATACATTTATGAGAGATAACGTTAAATATTGGTTGAAAATGTTGAATGGTAAAAATGTCTGCAGTGATGAAAATACTAGTTAGACTAGCAAGTTTAGTTTGAAGGAGAAAATTGATAGTTCTATAGAGAAGAAAAATGGGCCCTATACTATGAAATAGTAATGGTGTAGTTTTGATCTAGCCATATTTTTCTGTGTTGCGTACATCTTTTAATAGCAATAAAGCTACCTGTACAGAAAATTTACCTGCTCTTACTCCTATACTTTTATCTGTGACAATGGGGAGTGAATTGGTTGCTATCTATTCAGTTATTTTACATTCAACAGGGAGTGTGCTGCTTGCTATCTATTCAGTTATTTTACATGTTGTTTTTGAGCTATTCATACTTATAATTATTTTATAATTATAAAGTATTAAGTTTTGATCCAACAAAAAAGATCATACTGGATTTGGAAAGGCTTCAAATACGTATTTTAACTGAAATCAAGCATTAATAGGTTTTATTTCTAGGTACAGAGGATTGGATTGCAATATTAACAAAGTAGTACAGTAAAAAAATTAATAGTTATGTTATTTTAAAACATTAATACTGGACCTGTTAGGATCAAATTTTCCAATAGTTCTTGATGAACGCTTATGATTCTGAAGTTGCAAAGCATGATGTTTTTCCTTGGTAGCTACATAATTATGTTCCAGTTGCTCCAGTTGTTCTTTTAAAAGTTGTAAAAACTTAGTCCAAAAAATAATAAAATCATTTAATTCCATATTAATTTTACTATAAATCTATTCAAGTAATCTATTCCATTAATAGAAATTGAAATGTCAAATTCTCCTGAGATATATAATACCAATAATTTTGGAAGAAACAATATAAACAAAATTACTAAATCTGAATGACATTAAACATTCTAAACCGCCCTTTTCATGCTTGTTTGTTTCAGTGAGAAAATAAATTCAAAACACACCAGTTTAAGTAGAGAGGAAATGCTATATGTCAAAGCAGAATAAATCGTGGATATGTGAATTATGAGTCTCTGCCATGGGTTGCTTAATTAATTAAACTTAGTTCTTATTAAAAACAATCAGATAACAGAATAACAGTGTTGGAAGGGACATTGGAGGTCTTCTAATCCAACCCCCAGTCCAGGCAGGAAACTTTATACTATTTCAGACAAATGGTTGTCTAATGTCTTCTTAAAAACCTTCGGTATTGGAGCACCCACAACTTCTGGAGGCAAGTCGTTCCACTGATTAATTGTTCTGTCAGGCAGTTTCTCCTTAGTTCTAGGTTGTTTTCTCCTTTATTAATTTCCATCCCTTGCTTCTTGTCCTGCCCTCAGGTACTTTGGAGAATTGGTTGACTCCCCTCTTGAACTACATTCTACATCATGGAACCGGATAATCTTCAAATGGAGCTCCTGTCTTTTTAAATGTATACATAAAGTTGAATTTACCTGAAGATGTTCTTGGACTGAAAATACATTCTGTTTAATACACTCAGAAAATATTTCAACCTTTAAAAAAGGAAAGAAATACATTGCATTTGAACTTGCAGATGAGATGTTAATAAAATAGGTCAAGTTCCAAACATTTAAAAATTAACATGTGGCATTACATTTGCTTTCAGCTCTTCAGTTTGTTTCTTTAATATCTGTTCCGTGTCATCTGTTATATTTTGCAGAAAAGGAGTGTTCACAGATGGTTGTCTTATTGCATCAACTAATGGCAATGAAGAAGTTATATTTTTGGACTGTGATTCTATAAAACAAAATTTAAAAAAGATTAAATAAAAACTATGGAAAATTTTTCTCAAGACAACAACCTGCTTTTTTGTAAAGCCTATTTAAAGTACCTGGATGAGAGGCTTGGGAAAAATCAAGCATGTGCTCCATAGGAATGGTTGCAGGAGAAAAGGCAGACATTTTGGAAGCTATTCCAGTACTTTGTGCTTCAATACTAAGTTCTGCCGTATGTGAATTTGAACAAGGAGGTATCTGTGAAAATATACACATTCATTGAAAAGTACAAAATCAGCATTAACAATAGAAATCATTGACTTGCCTCTCTTAGTTACCTCATCCTTTTAGCAGCATCAAACAATTTTGTAATTACAAAAAAATTCTAAACATTACCATATTTCCATTATTCTAAATATTTATATATATATATATACATCCTGCAGTAAAATCTTCTGTGTGGCTTACAAAGTAAGCACATAAAAAACAACTTTTAGTGAAACTTTTACTAAATCAGGAGATAAAATAATGTCATGTTAAAAGCTTCTAAACATTACTACACTTTGTCAACGCTAAAAATTATGTGCATACTTTAACAGAATCTGCAATGTCCTAAAAAACAAGGCAAGCATAGATAAAATATTTCTAAAAACAATATAAGTCTAAGGGAAAAATATATTAGGGAATTAATTATATTATCCCTGATTTCACAGTGAATAATTTTGATCATAGGATGCTTTGAAAGAGAAATGTTATGACTGAAAGATGTTGAATAGTGAAGAGTAAAGCAAACAAACATGTTTTTATTTGAAACAGGAGAAAAAAAGTGGGCTGATTTTCACAATTGGAGGGAGATGAATTAAGGGAATAAGGTAAAAGTAGGCTGTTGGGAACAAATTAAAGCATTATTTAAGACATCAGTATTGTAATAAAACAGAGAATGGAGGATAACAGCTAATTGGTTCTTTATTTTTCCTACCCAACTTTTGAAAAAATAAAATTATAAATATATTAATCATATACTACAGCAATCCTAGTTACAGAAATCAAGAAGTGCTGAGTTGCTCCACAAAACACAATTTGGCAATGTGGACTGAGATTTGCAACAGTGATAGCGAGATTCTCACAACATGGGCCATGAATATTTCAAGGAGTTTCTTAAGTACATGATGTGGACTCTTTACTCACCTTCAGAAGCCCTCTTCTGAACAGAAGTGTGAGGTTATCAAACATACAAAAGTTTCTTCAGCTGAGGTGCCTTATTTATGGAAAACTCTAGGAAAACATACTTTCATCTATGTCAATATATTTTCATTGCCAGGCAAAAACATTCTTTCTGAACAAGATTGTAATATTTTTGTATTCAATTTAATTATCCACTGTACCCTGCAATAATAGAACTATTGGTAACTATGTACCCTATCATATAATTTGATAGGGCTTTAGAAAAAGAAAATACAATATTTTTATTAAGAAATTATCCTCAATAATGAAATTGATTTCTTATTCTGAGAGATTTACCTTAGGACTAAATCTTAAATGATCGATATGATTTTGAACCTCAGCTTGCCTTGTCAGCACCTGTAGTTTGAAAAGGTACAGAAAAACATTTTTGAATATGGTTAATATTTTCAGCATAACATTAGTTGCACTGTTACAATAATGTAAGACAGTAGTCAGAATCATTTCAGGTTCCCCAAATCACCTTAAATCTTATAATTTACTCTTACATCTTGTGGGATCTTGCATAACAATACCTAAAAATGTCTAAAGATTTCATATATTTGAAAAAGTGTAGAATTAAAACATAATTAATTTTGAATGGTTGCAGGTATCATTTTGGGGACTGATGGATACTTGAGCATCCATAGGTGCAGATTTGCTGATCCATGTCATAGAATACTCAAAAGCATTCTAACTTCTAGGAGACATATATTCAGTAAGCTGCTAACAAGTACTGCAAGAACTGTAAAGAAAAAAAAAAGAATTTGGTTTAGAAAAAAATCAGAGAGTAAAACACATGCCATTAGACAGGAGAACAACATATATCAACTACTGTAGTTTTATTATTTATTAAATGTATCTGGCCTTCAAACTGGACAGATTCAAGGCAGCATACATTAAAACCTAAAAAAAAATCAGAATACAGAAAATATGAAAATGAAATGATGTAATGGGAAAGTACATTAAAATGTAGAATTAGAAACGGAAGATTGGAAAATGTACCCTTTCTAATATGTAACATGGCTAAAAAACTAGCAGGCTAATTTGAAGAAAATGCCACATGCGAGGAAAGTCCTAAGCTAGTATATTGTCATAAATTAGCTACTATTGTAATATTGCTAGAGATTTATACTGGAGATAATTGATTAATTATTTGGAAACTAGGAATTGTTAGCATAAATATACTTTGTTATTATGATAAAGAACAATTAAAATTATTTCCACAGTCACGTGATTTCCAAGATTGATTCCAGGATAGCAATGGACTCTAAAAAAAAATAAGGGAGGGCGGGGGAATTGGCAGAAAATCAGAAACTATTCTTAATGTGTAATTTTTATTTGTTAAAGTTCCATTAAATTTCAGTTCATTTCAATATTCTTCAACACATGTATTTCACACTGCATTTATTGCAGTATAATTGTATGTATATTTATTAAGAAACGTTCTATTAATAGGACTACAAAAGTGGTTTAGGATTGCATCCCTCCCCCCAATCAAGAATCCAGGAAAATCTCCCTGGCATTTAATTTAAATTAACAAATGTTTAAAATAGGTTTTCAGCATTGATTTGGAGATCCAACTCAAAAATCAGTGAATGAATTTATCCATATAGAAGGAGACCTAGTTTATATGCACACAAATCACTTTTAATCTACCTCTAGCTGTTGATCAAGTTCAAAAGGTCCATTTTCCTCTTCTTGATTTCTGATTGTATTAGATTCCAAAAATACAAAGCTTTCATTATTTCCTTTCAATTCTTTGACTTTGGGAGAAATCTCAGAGGAATCATGAAGTCTATAATAAGCCTGGTATTCATTGCATTGGGGATTAGGAAAATTTTCAGTGTTATCCAGAAAATATTGTTGATTTTGATACTCTTTGCGAGTAGAGGTATAATTTAAGTCTTCATTAATTCCAGGTTCCTTCTGAATTAGAAATTGTGAGTCATCCATGTTGTAGTATTTGCTACTACAAACAAGATCATCATTGTCTGTTAAAGATAGCTTATCTTGGGTCAAATTCCAATTTTTTAAAACTGAGTTACAACTTACTTTCCTTTCACTATTCTTTATTTCTTCTTCTGAGGAAAATATCCCTGTATTTTCTGAAATCTTATTTTTTATTAGTACTGTTTCATCAAAACTGTCAGTAAATGATATCTCTGGGATAGTCTCAGAATCAATTAATTGGTATGTTAAGTCCTCTGTTGGAAAATGACGTAAAAGGACATCTGACATTTTTGAGTTGGAAAACTCTTCATTTCTTCCTGAATTGGTAAAACCACCAATGTGTACTTCCTTTCCTGTGCTCATGGTAAATTCTATGTCATTTTTTTGAGTCAACAGCGCCGTATTTATTTTCCTTTGAGACAATTGCTTTTTACAGTCTGAATTTTCTTTTGTCAGACTGCTGATAGAAGATGTCAATGTGGAAACAGTTGGGGAGACATGTTCTACAGAAATAAATTCTTCCAAATTCTGTGAATCATAACTAAATTGACTTCTATGTGGTAGATCTCCATCATAAGGCAAATCATCTTGCTCATTGTCAGTATTGTCTTCAGAGTAAAGCATATCAAATAATATACTATTCACTTACTTTTCATAGAGTGAATGTTGTTTTATTGAAATTACTTATATTTTGATCATATTCTGCATGATTTCAAGCTCTGTAAGATTTGAGAGAACAAATTTAATAATCGGAGTCATCTATAAGAAGACAAATCTTGTAAATCTCCTATTTCCTTTCTGTAGAATTTTCATAGACATTTGACATTTGCATTTGTTCCAAAAAAGTCTATATCATAACCCAAGGATCTAGTTTGGATTGAAAGACAAATATACCTACAATTCTTTACACAGTTTAATTAGATGGTCAAAGTTCTATTGGAAGATTCATATTATCTGTTGAAAATTATGCATATCAGAACAATTATATCATCTATGTCAACTGAATTGCAGCTTCATGTGTGATTAAAAATGAGGCAATACAAAATAGTTATTTTATATAAAATATCCTCCAACATTCCTACTTTCTATATAAATCAACTCATTAATGTACCAATTTTGAAAAACACCAGGATGACAAATTTTAATTTGGATCTAGGTCATAATTATAATGTGCAAACAAATTTAACATTAACATCTACATGCTTTTTTAAAAACACTTTAATCTTTCTTCCAATACACAAATAAGTCATTCTGTACATATATGTGTATTGTGCTAATGACTTCAATATATACAGAAAATAAGAAATTTCATTAGATAATAAAAATATAAATTACATACTATACACACACACACACACACATATATATATACACATACACACAATATATATATATATCACGTAATGGTAAATCAATAATAAATCTTTATACTCACATACTATAGGAAAATATTTCTTTAATTTTCAACAAAGATAGTTATAGCAGGCAAAATAAAAAAATTCACACAACTTTCTGTTATCTAGTTTAGTTGTAACCAAAATATAAGGCTCTTCTTTATTAGGTGTATTTTATTTCTCAGTTGTAACTCTATACTAAACACAGCTGACCTGGAGAAGTACAATATCTTTAATAATGCAACTATTCACCTTGTTACTTGCTTCTTTGATCCTGCCATTATTCAATGATAGCATAAAGGGAATAAAGAGCAACAAGCCAACATTTTGAAAGCCTGAAATAAAATTCAGCTTAATCTATTTATCTACTAATGTTTATTTTCACTGGGACTAATTCTATGTGTTTAGAAGTGAAATATAACATTTAAGGCTCTCATAAACATGACTATCTTCACTGTAAGGACTTTAAATAATTTATTTGTGAAAATTAATTATTTACTACTACTCCAGACATCATCTGGAACTGCTTCCTAAGATCATGAGCAGACCTCTGCAACATAAAGCCTTCATTAATTATATCTAGATAGGTAATTTCTAGGAATATAAATTTAGAAGTTGTAAAAGTGTGGAAAGGGAATTTCACGAAGGCAGTAGTGTCACAAAAACCAGGA